CTATAGATAAACAAGTGAACACTAACACTCGTCCACTGACATCCTGTTGTCCAGGCCTCTGCGTGAACGCAGGAAGTTCCTCCACGACAACATGGTGGAAGTTCCCAACAGGATTCTGTTCTCGGAGATGAAGCACGTCACAGTGAGTTGAACCAAAAACAACAACAAACACTTAGCGGAGGAACGACAACGACTAATGCTGCTCGTTTGTTCTGTGTGTGTGTCAGAGAGCACGAGATCTGGCCGACATGATAACTCGTGTGATCAGAGAGGGACTTGAAGGCCTCGTGCTAAAAGACATAAAGGTGAGTTACTTATATGATTATAATTCAACATATCTAAAACATATAATATATAGAATAATATTGGTATAAGGTGATTTAAATAAGAATATTTAAATAAAATCGAACCATTAATGCAGATTTCTCTGGATTGCGTATCTTTGTGTCACGTCTGTGAAATGCTCATAAAGGTGCTCTGACACCGTTCGTCATATTTTACACGTGCTGCAGTAAAAAGTGTGAATATAAAGAAGTTTAATTACAGTTGTAGCTTTGAGGTGGACTGTATATGTGTGTCTCAGGGCCCCTATGAACCAGGAAAGCGTCACTGGTTGAAGGTGAAGAAAGACTATCTGAACGAAGGTGCGATGGCAGACACGGCCGACCTGGTGGTGCTCGGGGCGTTCTATGGAAAAGGCTCAAATGGTGCGTAAAGCTCAAACTATCCTCCGCAGAACATTCAGACGTTTCATGACCTCTCCCGACAGTTTGAGTGCTTTTCCTCCCTGTGCTCAGAGGAGTGTGACCCTGGATACACCCAGATTAGCTCATCAAGAAAGTTTTACTGTAACGGATCATTTTTAATAATGATCATTTGTTTAATGATCAGTGGGGACACTTTTGCAAACTGTGGTCGACTTTCAGCAAAACTGATCAAATTAATGGACTGTTAAATAAGTTGAACACGGTGATTACATCAACAGGCTCTTCGTCAAACGCGTCAGGTCTTAAAACTTCAGTGAGTTTTTACACATCATCTGTATCATCCGAAGAGTTTATAGACTAAATATGTAGCTCAAACTTTTTCTTACAGTCAATCAGAACAAAATTTCCCTGAAACCAGATAAGCATTTTATCCTGCTGCCGAACAGACCGATGAGAAGATAACCTCCTCAGTGGAGATAATAAGACGACTGAGCTCCAACAAAACAATATAAGTATAAAGATCAGTTGTCTGCGGGTAAAGCAAACAGACAGACAGGATATTGGAACCAACGAGGAGGCTGCGTAATGAACAAATACGAAAACAAAGGGGTTCATCTCTAAAGCACGGCTAACAAAGGGCTCACGAAGCGCGGAGGCAAATCTAATCAATCAGTGAGATGAGATCACATGTCACGACGTACAGCAGAACACAAGAAACCACACGGAGGACAAAGACCTGATGCATCTGAAGCACGTTGTTAAAGATGTGATTGATTAATAATAATAAGGAGACACTAACATGAAGGACAACAACCTCCAACAACATCCCACAGCTCAGTGTTTCTGAAGCTCCCTCAGGCAGCACCGTCCCTCCTAATGCCAGGTGTGTTCTTCTGCCCACCAGGGGGCATCATGTCCAGTTTTCTCATGGGCTGTTACGACCCAGACTCCAAGAAATGGTGCACGGTCACCAAGTGCTCCGGAGGCTACGATGACGCCACCCTGGCCCGGCTCCAGAAGGAGTTGGACATGATCAAAATCAGCAAGGTCAAAGAGGATCCACTTAGAGGCTCGCCTGAAATATCCAGCTGATGTAATAACATTTCAAATTAATCCCTCGTGTGTGTGTGTGTGTGTGTGTGTAGGACCCGAGCAAAATCCCAGGCTGGTTGAAAATCATCAAGAACTATTATCCAGATTTCATTATCTGCAATCCTGAGGTAAGATTTGACTGTTCAGCACATTTGTAGCTCCCGGTGGACCCGGTGCCACGGCCGGGTTGTATATCTGTGAACTGAGGACCTTTAAATGAAGTGATCAGTTAAAAGCATCTCTTGCATATGTCTCCTGCAGCAAAGTCCACAAATAAATTACCCTCAGAGGTATTAAGATAATGAGCTGCAGGGCTGCGGGTTTCTTCTGCGTGTTTACATCAGAGACGGAAAACATGTGTTTGAAACGAGTTTTTCACTTTGAAACTAAAATCCACAAACATCTTTCTTTAAAAACCAACAGCCTCGGCCTCTTCTCTGTTCGAGCAGAAGTGAAAATTCATACATTCATCATTTGTTTGTTTGTTTTCGATCGCCGCAGAAAGCGCCTGTCTGGGAGATCACAGGCGCCGAGTTCTCGAAGTCAGAAATGCACACCGCGGACGGCATCTCCATCCGCTTCCCCCGCATGACGCGCATCCGCGATGACAAGGACTGGAAGAGCGCCACCAACTTGCACCAGCTCAAAGTAGGTTATCGCTGTTTTGAATACAAGTTTACACGCGGTTGTACGCTGGTATTAATAATGCATGGGTTCCTCATGCAGGAGGGGAGTGAGTAAAGTTTGACTCTAGGAATGTGGAGAAAATATAACTTTGACTCTTATGTCCTTTTTTATCAGATACTACTACACCCAAGGAAATGATCTGTAGAAAATCAGTGAATGAATCGTCACATAATGATTTAGTTTTGATGAGATGACATCACAAACTACTCAGGAGATCTCATGAAACCATATTTAATTCCGCTTCACCTGGATCTTTAGCAAATTTCACACATTTCAGCCTCAACATGTGAGATTTCTTCAAGGAGAAATTTAAGAAAAGGCTGAAAAATGTCACAATTACAAAAGAAAGAGTTCCTGGATCCTTTATCGCTCCCCCGAGTTTTGTCGAAATCTGTTTGAGGTTTTTGTGCAATGCTGCCAACAAACAAACTGAAAAACTAGACCGGGCGCTCAGTCACTTTATCTGCGGCAGTATTCACCTGCTCATAGATATTATCACTCCTCATCTATTTCACAAAGAATGCGTCCCATCCCTCCATCGAGTTTCAAGACAATCGATTCGGTCGTTTCTGTGAAATCAACAACATCCCTCACGATAAAAAACTGAGTCAGAATCAGTTGCTCATTTGAAACTGAAAACCTGACGTGAACATCCAGGGATTTGTTGCTGTTTACTTTCCCTCTCTGTTGTAATATATGAGGGAACATGAGAGAGAGAGCAGAGGTGATATACAGCAGGAGTGGGAGCGGTAAATAATTAATGCCACGGTTGAACTCAGCACCTGTGGGACGACCTGAGTTAAGTATGATTTAAATGTCGACGAGGGGGAGCGGAGTGATCCGGCATTTACAAACGAGTTGAAATATCGGTCGAGTGAAAACGCGCCAGCGCCAAATTATTTGAATCCGACACAAGCGTTCAATCCTCTCGAGGCACGAAGCCTTACATCTCTTGGCTGACGCCCACGTTGTCATTTCCTCTCTCTGCTCAGGAGCTGTTCCGCATATCTAAAGAGAACTGCGACTTCAAAGTGACAGCCGGACCGTCCAGCGACGACAAGGGCTCATCAGGAGGAGACAGCGGAGGAAGCTCCCCGTCGCCCTCGTCCCACAGAGGCGGCGCTCCTCCTCCTCCTCCTCCCAAGAGGCCCAGTGAGTACACAAAGAAACAAAGAGGACGACAAACGTGTGACGCTACAGCGCTGATGGTTTAATGATATTAACTTCACTTAAATCAGAGACTTAACCTCCCACTGTGCAGAAATAAAGAAAAATACAAAGATAACACAACAGATACAAAGGATAAGAATCGTAAATGATGAAGCCTCGTTTATATTTCTTGTCATTACGTCTTGGTAGCACCATCTTAAAACCATTTTTTTAATCTATGATATCAGTATCCACAACAAGTCCATCGTCAGGTTCTAGTTAAAGGTCAAATGTGTTGTTTCGCTCAGCGTTCGTTGTGCTGTGGTGGAACTTTATTTGATATTTCATCAGTAACTTTCTCTCATCACAGGCGGCAGCAGCAGCGCCACACCCAAACCGAAGGTGGTGAAATCTCAGCCCCGCACCCCGAGCTCAGAGGCACCTGCTGCCAAGAAGGTACAGTAACGACAAGTAAAGTAACGACACGTGACGGAGGGGAACTTAAACGTCACAGTGACTGTCCGATGACGCTGAGGCAATGTCACAGAAAACCTCATGTAAACGTGATGACCGTGTTTCACCAGGTGAAGAAGAGCGACGACGTCCACAGCAACGGACAAAGCAAAACAAAGACGACCTCTCAACTGCTGCAGCCGAGGGACGACAAGGTCAGTCCAACGACCGTTGTTCACTATTAATCGTCACAAGTCTGAGTCAAGTCTTTTATTTTCTATCTGACGTTTGTTCCGCAACGTGACAAAACCTCAGGTCTGCGTTGTCCACACGTCTGCGTCGCTCTGTCCTCTGATAGTTTTGTTAAAAGTGAAAGATAGAGGTCAACAGACAAAGCCGATGTTATCTCCTCTTCTGTGAAACTACGACATTTTAATGTGACGCACACGTCACCATCAATGACCTCACAGTCGACCACTCCCCCCAGATCTGTGTGCTTCTTTCTTCTGCACAGACTCGGGTTCTTCTAAAAGTCCTGATTCTTCAGATAACGTGCAGCTGACGAGCCAAAAGATTCAATATAACATTATTTTTAAGACCTTTATTAAAGTATTAGGATGAAGCTCCACATTCCTCATTCCACCACATCCCACAGTTATTGTTTGGGTTTTATAGTTATTATAATTATTATTACGGTTCAACTGTAAAATCAATTACATTTCTTTGTCATAAAGGTTTGATAATAACATGTTCGGCCAATAAATCTTGAAATATTGTTGCCCCCCAACAATGCTGCATGATTCAGGCACCAGTTGATGCAGAGTCCCTCGAACATGAAACAAGATAAAACCACTCGTTCAGTGACGATAAACCTGGAGTTTGTTTCTTCTGACCGTTTGTCTTTTCCCTCCAGACGCTGCTGGACATCTTCAGCGGCGTGAAGCTCTTCCTGCCCGTCTCCGTGCAGGACTTCGACAAACTCAGGCGCTACTTCGTGGCGTACGACGGGGACATCGTGCAGGACTACGACACCTCCTCCGCCACGCACACTCTGGCCGAGCCCGAGGAGAACAGCCAGGCCCAGAGAGTCTCCCCCAGCTGGATCTGGGAGTGTATCCGCAAGAGGCGCGTCGTACCTCCCTGTTAATGATAAACAACGAAAAACATTTTTTTACACTGTGTTTACAGGCACTGCTCATCAGTGCAGCTTCAATCCGTTAAACCACATGGACAAGAATTTGTATTTATTCTTTTAAAGCCTTTGTGGTTTGTAAACTTCAAACCAGCCGGGGCCACGAACGCAAACATTTACTTTGGGAGTTTTACTTTCTGCTGATTCCAGGTTATTGGAAAATTATGAATGTTGGTGATAGACGTAGTTTTTATAACATTTCACTCAGACAAAGGTTACAGCCGCCGCACAGAAGATCACGGAATGCAATTTAAAAAGGTCACGACACAGATCATAGCTGAATTAACACCATGGGATTAATCAGTAGCACGCTGCTGTTGTTGTTGTTGTTTTTTTTACAGCCAGAAACCACAGCTCGTGTGAAGAGCAACATTTTCAGAATAAACGAGATGCTGATAACATCAAGAACTGTCTGTTACATCATTCTAATGCTTTGAGTTACACATTTTCTTCTACGTGTCTGGCTCGTCCTTTTCATCCTGGCAGATTTGTATTCTTCTAGTTTGGCGTCCGTCACGTGTTTGAAACGTCATCGACACGCCAACTCACTCAGAGGAAGATTTCAGGAAAATGTCTGAAAGCAGCTCTACGGTCGGATTCTAGAAATATGACTGTAAAGATAAAGTTTTTGGATTCATGTTCTCAAATCGACCAAAATCATACGAGAGAATTAATAGTTTGTTTAAAAAAATCATTTTCTCCTCCTAAACCAAATATTCTTCGCTTGGATTTTAAATCATGGGACTCTGGGTACGATCCAATGAGATGCTACAAGATTTAAATTTAATTTTTGTTACTGCAGCCTCTTGCATGTGAATGGCTTCCAAGGATAATTCAGATTTGCCTTTTTATCCTGCGGATACTTCGGGCTGTGATGTGGCTTCATTAAACGTTTGAATGTATTAAAGCTCAGAAGCAAAATCCACTTGAACCTGCTCAGCTTCCCCTGAAAGGTCTGAGAAGAGGAGAAAGGACTCGCTCGCCGATATATTCCTCCGTCCTCTCAACGGGTAAAAAGAAATCTCATGAAAACATTAATTCTGCTGCAGGCGACTGACGGAGCGTCTGAAAGGAATATAAACAACACGAGTGTCATGATCTTAACGGGTCCGTTGGATTTAAAACAAATTATTAAATGTGTGCAAAGTGTTTCAAAGACACATTTTCTTGCAAATGAGGTTCTTAAACATCCTTTTGTACCTTTGATGGGTTTTTTTTTTTTTGTTTGTCAGAGGATTTTTTAATTGGCTCTCGTCAGGAATCGGTCTCGTCCCGTTTTCTTTTTCCGGAGGTTCCTTCTTTGGAGCGACTCCACCACTTCAAGTCAAACTGCTCTCTGACGAGACACGGCTGAGAAGAAGGAGAGAAGACGAAAAACAAACACGCAAACCTCAGCTGCAATTTAACGCCTCATCGCTTCTTATGAAAAGAAAGAATTTATCAAACCAGACCAGTTTTAAAAATCAAACACAGAGATTCCGTTTGATTGAGACGTCCAGACACTTGCAGCTAAACGCAGCGTCGGGCCGCGGCTCGTCGTCGTACCTGTCTGGAGGACTTGATCAGTGTTGCTGAGCGCAGACTGGAGCGACCGGCAGCCCCGGCCTCCTCCAGCCGCTCCAGCAGAACTCTGGTTCTGGGGATGTGACTCCACGACGCACCGAGGCCCGGCAGCACCTCGCCGCCGCCGCTCCTCGTCACGTGGTTTGTTACCTGCGGGCCCACACACACACACGCACACACACACCATCGTGTACAGTTCTACGTTCTGTTTTAGGATTCAGTGCAGCTGTCCAGAGATAATACAAGAGAGGAAACCAAGTAGGACGAGCAGATTGTCCCACTTTCACTCAAATGGGACATCAAACAGCCCGTCACATTATCTTTATCTCACTTTCAATGACCTGATCTGAATTGAAGGCAAATTTCCTTTGGTTCAGTTTTTCGATTATAATTAGTTCTTTTTACACGATGTGATTAGAACCTGCTGTCAAACAAAGCTCTTTTTGTTTTACACGTTTCAGTTTGAAGGAAATTATTAACCTTGTGCTTTAATCTGCTTGATTTGGTTTTATCACCCAAACAAAAGGTAGAAGAACACGTTTAGTTTTCATTTGAGCTCCTCAAACAGAGGAAGTGTTGAAAAGATTTAGATGCATCTTTCATCCGGAGCAGCACGCACACACACACACACACACAC